TAGTCTTAACTCCTGGCAACCATGTGAACATGTCCTTGCAGTTTTCTTGGCAACATGTTCAGAAGTGGTTTGCCCTTGCCTTCTTCCTAGGGCTGAGAGAAGCGATGGATCCAAAGTTACCCAGCTGGCTTTTGGGCCTAAGGGATGACTAGAACTTACAGTCTACTGGTTTCCAGTCAAGTGCCTTTAACCATTATACCAAACTATCTCTGCTTTTCCATAAAAATGGAAAATAATCCCAGACTGTATGTTGGGGATGAGTGGAATCAACAGAAACATTAAAGAAAAACGGATGCAGAAAATACAATGAACGAAAATCACATTATTATAAGAATTCGTTCATAAATAAAATAACAAAAATAGTATCTTACATGAGCTGTAAGAAGAAAGGAGCAGATAAGAACTACTTTAGTTTTACTGTACCGCCACATTTTGAATACTTTATCTTGAAGATACCTGCAACTTCATAATAAAATTGCCATCTCTAGATCCCACCCATGCCTTTTTTAAAAAACAAAAACAAAACTGAGAGAAACGTATTCCAGAATTGTGAGCTATGACTAAGGAGATTCAGGCATTAGCAAAGAAATGCAGCTTCTACTTTTCCTGAGAATTCTATGACTGTAAACCTCAGCTCTTCTTCTCCGACGGTATGATGGTAATGTATGCATTCTATGGTAATATAAAGATGTTCTTCCAGAAAACATCAGAGAACTATTGCAGTCTTGTTTACTTGCTTTAAAGGAAGGCATTAATTTTTATTCAGTCATGATGTTCACCAAATGGGCCTCAGTCACTCACATGGAAAATTTCCAATTTGCTAGTTGGGCCCTTCCTCTCGATTTGTTTTGATTTCCCAGTCAAGACTTCAGCCTAGAACTCTTTGACAATCTGTCCAGCTAAGTACTAGACAGGCTTGACTCTGATTAGTATCCAGAGACCAGGAAGAACATTTCCCATAACATGCAACAACATGCAGAAGCATGTTCTTATTGCAGAATGTGATCATAGATGGGTAAATGATAAGTGCGTTGTAGGATAAGGAACAGAAGCCTCAACAGTGTGGTAGGAAGGTAGTCTGAGACTGGTGCTATTCAGGCAAAATTACAACACTTCTGGAAAAGGTTTAATTTCTACAAGGCTAAGACCCCACTTAATCTCAAAACTGGAACCTGGACATTGTTTGCCCCTTGCCCAGGCCTAATTTAAACCACTTAGACCTTTATAGACACAATTTTATTATAGCAATTTCTGCAGGCAAGGTTAGTTTTTTTGCTACCATTAGTGATGCTGGGACAATTCATGTCCTTCAAACTATTCTGCAATCACTGATGTAGCCCACCATGAAGGAAAAAAAAAAAAAGACACCAAGTTCTTCTGTACAGTGAGTAGGAACATTTTAGTTTTTCTTTTAAGCCTAATGGAGTTGGAAGCTTGCAAGCCATTTTTAAACACCTATTTCATCTACATGTGTAACACATTTGTAGTATTTTCATTATCTTACCGCTGGAGTAGCAGCAGTGAAATTAAATTGGAAACTGTGGAAATTCCTCATCTGAGAACAACATGAAGTGTAATTTTATCAGTAATAAAACTATAGAACTACCAACTTGCCTCTAGCAGCAATTCTCACTAATTTTATCTTTTTCTCCTAAAAACATTTTATGAATAAAGGTAGTGAAAACCCTTTTACTTTGTTCAAAAGTAGAGAAATTAAATATTATTAATGAGGCTTCCCCTTTGGTAGACTTTAGTGAAAACTGATGGCACATCAGTAATAAACTCCAGCTCATTCAGACGGACAGCTGAATTAATTTGGTCTACCAATGTTCAAGTGCTTTCCCTCTGTGGCCAAACTCTAGCCTATTACTCTGATGGGCACCATAAACACTCGCTGAGCTACCCAAGAAATCTGAAGGAGAAACTTTAATTATTATGTTACCCATAAGTCAATTTTCATAAGAATTTAGGCTTGGCGGTGTACTCCATACAGAAACATTTCATCTTAACTTGGGAGCCAACTCTTTGCCTTTTAAAAGATCTTGCTGACAAAGAATTGTTTGGTAAAGATAACTCTTCAGCATTGGAAAGATCTGAGGTGTTAAGAGCTACGAGAGTCACCATAAAGCACAGATGAGTTTTGTTTACCTTATTTTTGACATGTAAGTATATTCTATTGCAGTGCAGCTTGTGTGTCCATCGGTCATCTGCAAGCGCAGCATTCTGGGAGCCACCTGAGATTCTTCATTGTCCTTTGGTGCAGCTACATTGCGAATTTTTTGAATCTGCAGAACACAGGGACCTTCTAGCTGTGAAGACAAACGAAAAAACCGACTTTATATAAAAATGTTAGACTGATACCCAAAATAAGCATGGCAAAGATACTTTCGTTGAATGCATTCCCAAGTAGTTTTTGTTGCTGAAATAGCACCTCCACAGCTAACATGGTACAGTATTCTGTCTATTGTAAGAACAGCTAAGATTTTCATACTATTTCAAGTAACGCATTTGTTTTATGAGCAAGATCTCCTACCTAATCTTAAAGTTCCTGTGTTATGACTTTAGAGATAAAAGTAACCCATCATTTCTAATTCAGCATCGTGAGATTTTATTCAGCTGCTTTCTGCCTGCTGACTGGAATCTTTTGCACTTTGGCAGATCATTTTTGCCAGAAGGGATCTGACTTCTGCTATATGCCTTCATATTCACCAAAATCCAGGATAGAGTTATAATCCAGGAGATACAAAAAAAGCTGGTGGTAGACATGATTGACATTTATAAAAAAGGGGGAGGGAAGCAACAAACAGCTCTGTAAAACAACTGCCAAAATATGTATTATCACCTTCAGGAAAGTTTTCTATGCTAAGTTTAGTCACTTTAATCCACTAATGAAGATATGAGTGTGACTGAATTCCTCTCTTGATTCTTAGATGAAAAATTGTCCAATTATTTGTGAATGCATGGAGATTCTGGTTTTGGTTTTTGCTTTCAAATGGCAGTGACCCCCTTCATGGTATAAGCAAAGACTTTGAAACTGAAGGGACTTTCTACAGGAGTCTCAAGAATGTGCTCTAAAGGAGAAACAGTCAATATACCCATATAAACGCCCACATTTTAAGACATATTTAAAGAAGATTTCTCATTTTAGACAGGCTTGACTCAAAGTTTTTTCTGCAGATACTATATTGGGGGAGGGGGGGTTGGGTCATCTCATTTTAGACAGGCTTGACTCAAAGTTTTTTCTGCAGATACTATATTGGGGGAGGGGGGGTTGGGTCATCTCATTTTAGACAGGCTTGACTCAAAGTTTTTTCTGCAGATACTATATTGGGGGAGGGGGGGTTGGGTCATCTTAATACTCAAAGCTAAAAAAGAGATAAGAATTAGATCTTACCTTCAGCATAATGCAAAAAACAGATCCCTACATTTCAAACATATAACTAAGATTTTTAAAGATATTTGCAGAAAAGATCCAAGTTCCTAACCTAAAATGTTCAAAATAATCCAACAATGCCTATCCGGGGGGGGGAGGGGGACACTGTTTTCCTTGTTTTAGCTTTGAATTGGCACAACACATTCAAGGACAGTGTTGAAAAATCAAGCTTCCTTTTATACTCCCAATGATCATGACTGACAAGTCTGAACTATTTTAACTCTATAGTGAAAAAAAACCCTGTCACTGAGCATATCTACACTATTTTCTTCAAGTTTAATCAAATACAGCCATCTTGTGGCTGAAACTTGTAAGTCATGTTTTTACAGCCCACAGAGAACTTCTACATTTATTCTTTTACCACCTTTGTTCTATGGAGAAAAACAGTAACACTTTATAAGAAATAAAATACACACACACAAATACACAAAACAAATACTCCATAGAGGCAATACCTCTATTAGGGCAACTGAAGTCATAAGCTTTTGAGTTTCTTTGATCTCTTCCATAGACAAGGTAGCTGAAAAGCAATATAAGCAGGGAGCATGTATGGATGAAATCTGAACCACATCTGTATCAAGTTACACTCTTAGATGCACTGACTGACATCC